AACTAAACAAAATTAAACTACCAAAATAAACTAAAAATCAAATTACAGGGCCTACTGTGCACTATACAGTGTACAATTGGACAGCTGAAAGGTTGCTATTTAACAGAGGCCGCAGTTCCTTTATATATAAGGATTCCATTACTCTCAAATCTGACTGGCCATTCATACAAGTGTCCAGAATTTTAAAATCAGATTCCAGCAGAGAATGATCAAACTCATAACAATGGTTTCTAATCTCCGAAAATGCTGGTTTAGACAATGGTAATCCAGTCCTAAAAGATAATCCCCGGTGCTCAAGTATCCTAATCTTAAAGTTCCGAATGGAACTCCCGACATATCCAGCATTACAGCTGGAACAATTATACATATATACGACATTTGAGCACAAGGGGATAGGCACTTTATCTTTAAATTTAAAATAAGAGCCTATGGTATTTGTGTTGACAAAAATAAATCTAAAGTCTACTTGAGGATAACACTGCTGCAACAGTCTCCTCAAACGACTCCTTACAGAAAAGCTAATACTGCCATAAAATGGTAATTTAATATATTTAAGATCCCTTTCCACTGTAGTAATCCTACACGATGGATGAAACTTCTTATTTAAGAAATTCCTTATAAAAGTATAAACCATATGCACAGGATAACCATTATTTGAAAAAAAATTCACAAGAAAATTAATTTCCTGATCAAAGTTATTCCAATTAGAACATAAAACAAAGGCCCTATTCAGTAGAGTGTTAATAGCATTTTTCTTAAAAATATCAGGAACAAAGGAATTAAAATTTAAACCTAAACCAGTAAAGGTTGGTTTCCTAAAAACATTAGTGTTGAACCCATTGAGGTTATTCACTTTTACATCAAGAAACGACAATGAATTATCAACTTCACACTCTGCAGTAAACCGTATATTACTATGTTGTGCATTAAGATACTCTCTAAATTTCTCAATATGACATTGGTCCCTAAACAACAAAAAAGTGTCATCTACATATCTTCTGTACAAGACTGGTTTAAAGGCCGAAGGACAATTATCAAGCCAATTTATTTCGTGAAAACTCAAAAAAGCATTAGCCAGTGCAGGACCTAAAGGAGACCCCATTGCTACTCCATCAATTTGTTTATAATAAATATTATTAAACATAAAGATGGAGTCTTTAACTGCTATTTCTAACAGCCGTCTGAATATTTTACTACAAAATCCAGACACTAAGTTAGTGTCAGCAAATAATTGACTTACACAGATATCAATGGTTTCTAACAAAGGAATATTAGTAAAAAGTGATTCAACATCGAAACTGGCCATTATAGTTGGGAACTCAAAATTTAAAGAGGAAAGTTCTTTTACAAAATCCTGAGTTCTCACAGTAAATTCATTATGCGTTAATGGTTCAGCGATTAACTTTTAATTATAACCTGGCTAAGTTTCTGGTTCCATTATTAGAACCATTAACGCATAATGAATTTACTGTGAGAAATTCTCAGGATTTTGTAAAAGAACTTTCCTCTTTAAATTTTGAGTTCCCAACTATAATGGCCAGTTTCGATGTTGAATCACTTTTTACTAATATTCCTTTGTTAGAAACCATTGATATCTGTGTAAGTCAATTATTTGCTGACACTAACTTAGTGTCTGGATTTTGTAGTAAAATATTCAGACGGCTGTTAGAAATAGCAGTTAAAGACTCCATCTTTATGTTTAATAATATTTATTATAAACAAATTGATGGAGTAGCAATGGGGTCTCCTTTAGGTCCTGCACTGGCTAATGCTTTTTTGAGTTTTCACGAAATAAATTGGCTTGATAATTGTCCTTCGGCCTTTAAACCAGTCTTGTACAGGAGATATGTAGATGACACTTTTTTGTTGTTTAGGGACCAATGTCATATTGAGAAATTTAGAGAGTATCTTAATGCACAACATAGTAATATACGGTTTACTGCAGAGTGTGAAGTTAATAATTCATTGTCGTTTCTTGATGTAAAAGTGAATAACCTCAATGGGTTCAACACTAATGTTTTTAGGAAACCAACCTTTACTGGTTTAGGTTTAAATTTTAATTCCTTTGTTCCTGATATTTTTAAGAAAAATGCTATTTACACTCTACTGAATAGGGCCTTTGTTTTATGTTCTAATTGGAATAACTTTGATCAGGAAATTAATTTTCTTGTGAATTTTTTTTCAAATAATGGTTATCCTGTGCATATGGTTTATACTTTTATAAGGAATTTCTTAAATAAGAAGTTTCATCCATCGTGTAGGATTACTACAGTGGAAAGGGATCTTAAATATATTAAATTACCATTTTATGGCAGTATTAGCTTTTCTGTAAGGAGTCGTTTGAGGAGACTGTTGCAGCAGTGTTATCCTCAAGTAGACTTTAGATTTATTTTTGTCAACACAAATACCATAGGCTCTTATTTTAAATTTAAAGATAAAGTGCCTATCCCCTTGTGCTCAAATGTCGTATATATGTATAATTGTTCCAGCTGTAATGCTGGATATGTCGGGAGTTCCATTCGGAACTTTAAGATTAGGATACTTGAGCACCGGGGATTATCTTTTAGGACTGGATTACCATTGTCTAAACCAGCATTTTCGGAGATTAGAAACCATTGTTATGAGTTTGATCATTCTCTGCTGGAATCTGATTTTAAAATTCTGGACACTTGTATGAATGGCCAGTCAGATTTGAGAGTAATGGAATCCTTATATATAAAGGAACTGCGGCCTCTGTTAAATAGCAACCTTTCAGCTGTCCAATTGTACACTGTATAGTGCACAGTAGGCCCTGTAATTTGATTTTTAGTTTATTTTGGTAGTTTAATTTTGTTTAGTTTACCATGTCCTTGCCCTTTCTTACTTATTTCAAGTCTTAACATTGTACATTAATATAATCTTCTATGTAGGATATATAATACATTTTTTGGTATTTAATTTTATTTAATATTTGAGTTTTTTATAAGATTTTGGTTAGTACTTTATAATTGTCGTTTATTCTGTTTGTATTTTACATACATTTTTTGTAGATTTGTAGACATTATATAAATATTTGTTATAGTGTTTAGTATCTATGTGTTAGGTATCAAGTTTCACTTCTGATCACTTCACGTAAGTTTAATAGAATGGTTTGTTTTAGTAGTTATAAATTTCATCTTGTAGTTTAATGGATTTTAAATTAGTTTTAATATATGTGACAGTTAATAAGTTTTATTTGTATTGATCACTTTAAGTGCGCTTAAGTGTTTTGTTTTTTAAGCTTTTTCCTTTCTTTGATAGGCAATTATATTCAGTATGAGTTCTTTGTTTACCAGCTATTTGACTGTGATTTCTGTTTTTTCTTTTAGATCTGATGATGAATACGAGAAGTATTCGAAACGTTATGTTTTTTAAAGTAAAGATTCTGATACAAGATGTTCAGTATATCCCTGGTTTTCCTATTCATCTTAAAATTAAGATTCCCGAAGGGAACATCGATCATAAATATATATATATATATATATATATATATATATATATATATATATATATATATATATATATATATATATATATATAGCCTTACAGCAACTGGCATAACAGGTACGCCTTTAACCCACTACACCAAACTGAGACCCTTAAAAGAGATGGTAATTTTGGGGTATTTAATCCCCCCAAAGATCACCACCTCCCAAGGGCAACTAGAGCTAGTGAGAGGTTACTCACGTTCTTTCATCAAGTCCCTGTTAATATGGGAGAACACAGGCTCCCATATTAACAGGGACTTCAACAGGAGTTCAGTAGTATTCCCATGTCTGGGGTCTGATTTGTACGAATGGAAGATGTGGATTTTCATTTTATTTCCTGTGATTGATAAACAATCCTTAAAGGAAGATTGACATAGCTTAAATTACATTCTCTACAAAGGCGAAGAATTAGGGGGGGTGACATGATTGAAGGGGTGCAAGTGGATGATTAAACATAACAAAGTGGATATTAATGGGCTATTAATAGTATTAATACCAGACAGAACACGAAACAATGAGCATAAATTTTATTAGTTTAGATTTAGGAAAAAGACCTGGGGTATATACTGGTTCGGTTACAGGGTTGAACTTATTTCTTATGTTCAATATGAAATCTTAGCTAGAAAATGATCTTATAGCATTTGAAACAGTATGGAAATCCCTCATTAAGGAAAACGAGCTTATTATGGGGGAGATTATGGATGATGGCATTGTACATTAGGCTCGACAGAAGGCTGCCTTTTAATTCCCCCTTGACATAAATATTGAAAATGGGAATAAATAAGCCACAACAGAAAACGTTTTTATTCAAGAAAGATGAAGATTAACTGACGTCATTGACCATTAGCGATGACTGTGCAGGGTCACCGGGGTGACGCAAAACATCCACTACAGCGGCCAACCTTTTAATCCCCTTGTACGAAATTTTTCAGGTACTAGATGGCTAGCAATCGCTCACTGGGGTAATGAAAATAGACCCAGTCGGAAGGCGGCCTTTTAATTCCCATGAACGAAATGGCAGGACCTAGGAGGGAACCTTCACACTCCCATGGAAAAAATTACGTCACATAGACCGACTCTCGCTGCTTCACGGAAAAAATTACGACACAAATTACGCGCGTCAAACATCCACGAAAAAAAAAAAAAACATGATGCGTAGACCGACCCTCGAAAAAAGTAAAACAGTCGGTCTATGCGTCTACTTCCACTACTAATGTTGTCATAATGCCTCACCACCAGTAAGACAATGTTGTCATAATGCCACACCGCCAGTAAGACAATGTTGTCATAATGCCACACCACCAGTAAGACAATGTTGTCATAATGCCACACCGCCAGTAAGACAATGTTGTCATAATGCCACACCACCAGTAAGACAATGTTGTCATAATGCCTCACCACCAGTAAGACAATGTTGTCTTAATGCCACACCGCCATGAAGACGATGTTGTCTTAACTTCGGACGGGATGTAACTCAATATTTGGTCTCGCCAGGCCATGAACGGAGGTGTGGTGATGGTGAGCTTCTACAACCACTTCCTCACCTGCAGCGAGACGGCCACCGTGAAGGACGTGGTGGGTGAGTACCCGCCATATTAGTGGTGTTCTTCTCCCTCATGTCCACCTCACCCAAAACCGCCCAATCCTTTGTTCCTAATTACATTGTTGTTCTATATTTTGTCTCTGCTCAGTCGTATTGTTCGTTATTTAATTTATTATATGATTCTCACAGAAAGTTATATAAATATAGCTAACACCGCAGATTCAAAGTTATAAAGTGCAAAGGTTTACGAGAAGAGTTCTGCCAGAACCAAGAGTGTTAGGCTACGAGAACAGATTTGGGAAATTATATTTCACAGCTCTAGAGGAAAGAAGAAACAGGTGATATAATAATATTAATAATAATAAAAATATGTGGAAGAGGAAGAAGGAAACCGTAGGAGCCGTGATGTGGGTTCGAATACATGTGGTGTGTGTTCCCAGGCTCACGCCCTAGTCAAGGGCGGGTGTTGGTGGGAACACCCACCTCACGGGTGTTGGTGGGAACACCCACCTCACGGGTGTTGGTGGGAACACCCACCTCACGGGTGTTGGTGGGAACACCCACCACACGGGTGTTGGTGGGAACACCCACCTCACGGGTGTTGGTGGGAACACCCACCTCACGGGTGTTGGTGGGAACACCCACCACACGGGTGTTGGTGGGAACACCCACCTCACGGGTGTTGGTGGGAACACCCACCTCACGGGTGTTGGTGGGAACACCCACCTCACGGGTGTTGGTGGGAACACCCACCACACGGGTGTTGGTGGGAACACCCACCTCACGGGTGTTGGTGGGAACACCCACCTCACGGGTGTTGGTGGGAACACCCACCACACGGGTGTTGGTGGGAACACCCACCTCAGGGTGTTGGTGGGAACACCCACCTCACGGGTGTTGGTGGGAACACCCACCTCACGGGTGTTGGTGGGAACACCCACCTCACGGGTGTTGGTGGGAACACCCACCACACGGGTGTTGGTGGGAACACCCACCTCACGGGTGTTGGTGGGAACACCCACCTCACGGGTGTTGGTGGGAACACCCACCACACGGGTGTTGGTGGGAACACCCACCTCACGGGTGTTGGTGGGAACACCCACCTCACGGGTGTTGGTGGGAACACCCACCTCACGGGTGTTGGTGGGAACACCCACCTCACGGGTGTTGGTGGGAACACCCACCACACGGGTGTTGGTGGGAACACCCACCACACGGGTGTTGGTGGGAACACCCACCACACGGGTGTTGGTGGGAACACCCACCTCACGGGTGTTGGTGGGAACACCCACCTCACGGGTGTTGGTGGGAACACCCACCTCTCGGGTGTTGGTGGGAACACCCACCTCAGGAACACCCGTGGTGGTCATGCCTGGGAACATTACGGCTCTTACGGATTTTCTCATTGACGCATCACGGTAGTGTAATTACTCCCTGTGTAATAATAATAATATTTCATTATGTCGGGGGACAGGAAGCCAGAGTGTACTCATATACTTTAGGGTTACACCGAGGTTCCCCCACCTTCCTCCCAGGTCGAATTACTGACCCCGCCCAGGCTACAACCCCACAACAAGCTGATTAACTCCTGGGTACCTACTTACTGCTGGATGAACAGACGCATTTGGTGAAAGGAAACGTTCTCAACCATTTCTGTCCCGCCCGGGATTCGAACCCAGAATTCTCGATTGTGCGTCGAGAACGAACCCGACTGAACTACCAGGAGCATATGATCACAACATACAGGATGTTGCGGGAGTTGGGTTTATACAAGTTAGACAAGGACAGCCTCTTTTAATTGAGATAAAGTTGGATAAGAGAACATAAGCAAAAGAGTTAAAGAAGTGTAAGGAAATTCTCTTTCCTGGGACGTTTGGTCAACAAAATGAGTACTCGGCTAGAAAAAGTTGGGGAAGTCATCTACATTCACATATTTAAAGCTTGGTTCGACAAACAGATAACAAAAGGCGAACTGCCTGACCATAAATACACAGGCCTCACTTCCCGTTGTTAATGACACGTAATGTTTCCCGTGATATTAACGGGCAAGCCGAGAGTGTCTGGCGGACCTGCCAGATCTTACTCATGTCGCTATTACTGAGGTGCAGAACTGGTATCTTTGACTCTTATGTTTCGGTAAGATTGTGTGCAATGTGTTTAATAACATTTTTTTTGCTCTGTTAAATCTCAAGTAAGTCTTATTTGCTTTGTAACTCTGCAGTGTGATGTATAATGTTCAAGTGGTCTATTGGACATGTATCTACCTGCCGACATTTCCTCTCTTCTTCTTCTGGACCTGTAAGCCTATTTCCCTTGCACATCGGCATCCAAGCCTGATGCTGTGTAAGTGCTCTTTTGTTTTTCTGTTGTATACACACCTTTCAAGAATTGCAAGGTCAGTTCCTCACATTGTCTCTGTAGTTCAGTAGTCTGCACAGTTGGACCACAACCTAACAGTGCAAAGTTCGATTCATGTAGCAAGACAGACAAGACACGTTTCCTTTCACCAAATGCTTCTATTCTCCTAACATTAAATTTGTACCTGGAGCAATAAAACTGTTGTAGATTTAATTCTGGATACGGGATAAACTTCCTGACCATTGCAATGGAGGTCGAAGGAAAGGGAACTATCAGGGGTGAAAGCGCCAAGCCATTACCACTATATAGTACTGGGTATGGGTCAGGATAAGGATTTGCGATGGGACGGGGGAAAGGAATGGTGCTCAACCACTTGGATGGTCGGGGATTGAACGCTGACCTGTATGAAAGGAGACCGTCGCTCTACCGTGGTTGGGTATGCAATGGAAGACAAGAGAAACCAAGTTTATGAAACTAATATTTATTTTCTCCCTAGTTACCTAATATTCACATGGTATTGCACAATTCTCTGGTTCTTCTCCTCATATAACTCCTCCATATTCTTCCACTCCCAATTTTGCTCCAATTCGTAAGAAATACAGTTTTTCGTTTCTCGATCTATTTTCCTTAATTATATTTGTTTTCCTTCATTATATTTCCTTGTCAATATTGTGTACGCTCCTCTCTTTGCATTAACTATCATCAGAGTTAATTAACTTTGCAAAGTAATAAACATTAACTATCATTTTATTATTGCCTATCTCACTATTTTTCCTCACAGTAGTTATCGCTATTTTCGTTGCCTGTATTTTTATCTTTTATATTGCTTCCTCCTGTTAATATTTTATTTTTCCTCGTTATTCTGATTGTGTCTGAAGCAATTATGGTCTTCCTGAACATTATGTATTGTGTTTCATGATACAGAAAGCAAATACCAGCATCATCCGCGGAACGAAGCCCAACTCTCAACAGTGTCGTGAAATATTTATATTTCATATAAATATTTATATGAAATATATTTATTATTTATATTTATATGTTGTTAAATATGACCGAAAAAGTGAGATTAATAATTCTAACACAAATTTTCTCAATATTTCTTATGTTTCTTGTGATAAAAAATAAAAATATTTTAAATGCAAACAAAAAATATAATCAGTAGTTTAAAATTTCCATGTTCATACAATATTTTTTTTTTAGAAAATTATTCCCAATTTAGGCATCCACTCTGAAAATGGTTCGACACCTGTGGTCTAGGAGATCCCAAACCTAACATGATTAAGTTTCACCATGATGGCTGCACTCTGGCTGACTGATCACATCACAGCCTTGCAACGAGGCATCGGAGAGTGTTGCAATGGGCTTCATTCCCCAATCCTTTTATAAAGCACAGAGCTTCAAAGAAGAGAGGTCCGATGATCTCAGGGGCGTCGCAGTATGTGCCTGGCTGACGACGACCCTAGAGTCTTCAGATCTCTCTTTTTCGGATATTTTACTTCAAAAAAAAAATTATTGTTTCAAGATTCAGGACGTTCATTTCCATATCGTTTTATTGTTAGTGATTACATTTATAATATCATATAAATATAACGATAATTAGATATATTTAATTAAAATTCATCTTCTCACTTCATATCATGGATGAACCGGGTGGTGGTGGTGGTCATCCATCGCAGCTCACATCAACCACGTGCGGACCGTCGCCGGGGCGCATCATGTGGGTATCGGCGCTGACTTCGACGGTGTCAACAAGTAAGTTGTCCCGCAATTATAATGTGTCAGGAAGTGCTCATCTAGATGTGCTTACATAGACGTATTTGTAGGGTTGAGCATTAGTTCCTCTTCCCACCAGCGAAACAAGTTTAGCATTAATACAAAAGCTCAATTTCTTCTTTCTCTATTGTATTTACAATTAGTGTTTTGTATTTAATTTGTTTCAACTGTTTGTTTGTCTTACTCATTAATTTATTTTAAACTCTAGCATTGAGGAAGTTTTCAACAACTGATGTAGCACATTTGACTTGTTTATATTTTTGCTGTTTGTAGCTGTGAAAATCGCTTCTTCACTTTATCAATCATTCACAGACTCTTAGATGGGGTTATAATGTTTACTTACTTCTCTTCCGGACTGTAGTGAGGTTTTGTTCGCACAATCTTCCTATTAGTCCAGGTCCCTCACCTTGGAAATGAGTCTTGCTGCATATCTTTACTCCTTTTAAAAAATTTTTCTCAGGAAGTGATTTAGCGAATCTTATATATATTGTATATATGACCCAGAAGTCTTCTTTGTCCAAAGTAAGTAAGTAATTATCAAAAGAAGGCACCAAACCGGGAAGGCTATGTAGCACCATCAAATGCGCAAAATAATCAGAGGGCGCTAAATATCACCAAGGATGCCAATACGAGAACAAAAACGCATAAGGCGAACGATATCAAAAGTATCCGAGTCACCAAGAATTCTATTGAGGGACAGGTGACCGCGAGGGGCGGTCGGAAAGCAAGACACACGCTCGTCCTGGAAGTCAGGACATTCAAGAAGGACATGCACGACCGTAAGAGGGACAATGCAACTAGGAGAATAAGGAGCAGGGCGGCGCTCCATCAAGTGACCATGGGTTAAGCGAGTATGGCCAATACGCAACCTCGCCAGAGCTGTTTCCCACCGCCGGTTACGGTGGAAGGAGGACGGCCACGAGGAAACACAACATTTAAGAGCACGTAGTTTGTTACCAGTAACAGACAACCAAGAAGCCTGCCAATGGGTAAGGATGGAGGAATGGATAACCGGGTAAAAGTCAGAATACGGAAGACCTTTACGAGAGATGGGACAAGAGCGGACAGCTTCCTTGGCGGCAGCATCCGCACGCTCATTTAAAGACACACCTATATGGCTGGGAACCCAACAAAACTCAACCGACTTAAATTTACTGTGAACAAGAAACAGCCAATGCTGGATCTCGACAACTACTGGATGAACCGGATTAAAGGACCCGAGAGCCATGAGGGCACTACAAGAGTCAACTACAACTACAAAGGAAGACTGACAACGAGAAAGCAGGAGACGAAGAGCATAGAGAATAGCATAAAGCTCCGCTGTAAAGATGCTAGTCTCCGGAGGTAAGCAACACATATAAGTGCGATCAGGAAAAACAACAGAGTAGCCAACACCGTCCGCAGACTTAGACCCATCAGTGAAGACAGAAACGGAGTGGGAATGAGAAGAAAAGTGTTCAAGGAAAAGGCGTTTTAGAACCGTAGGAGGGGTAAAAGCTTTAGTGATATGGGTCAAGGATGTACAAAACCGCGGAAGAGGGACTCTCCACGGGGGCAAAGAAGGAACAACACGAGGAGAAACATTAGAAATACAAACGGAAAGAGAGTCCTGTAGGCGAGATAACCGGACAGAAAGAGGGAGGTGGTGAAGAGGAACAGGAACCGCAGGAGGGGTAAAAGTTAAAGCACGACAGAGGCGAGAGGAAGGATGTTGTAAGGACCGCGCAAGATAGCGAAGATAGTAGCGATCACGGCGGTCTTGGAGAGACAGGAAGCCAGTGTCAACATACAAGCTAAGGACGGGAGTCGAACGAAAGGCACCAGAACTGAGGCGCAACCAAGTATGGTGCAAAGCATCAAGACGGCGAAGAGTAGAAGGAGAAGCAGACGAGTAAGCAGGGCAACCATAATCGAGCTTAGACAGGACGAGAGAGGAATGTAAAGCAAGGAGAGTGCGCCTATCTGCCCCCCAAGAAGTATGGGACAAGACCCGAAGGAGGGCAAGGGCCAAAGAGCACTCAACACGGAGGTAAGAAATATGGGGAGACCAAGACAAACGAGTGTCAAGGAATAACCCCAAAAGCTTCGCGGAATCTTTGTACTCAAGGGAATGACCATAAAGTGACAAAGAGGGACGAAGAACGACCCGTTTCCAAGTAAAAGTCATGGCACAAGTCTTAGAAGTAGAGAACTTGAAGCCATGATCGGTGGCACATGACGACACGGCATCAATTGCAAGTTGAAGCCGGCGCTGAAGGAAAGGTGAATCATCACCCTGACAGCAAAGTGTAAGATCATCGACATAAAGAGCGGAAAAGACACCTGAAGGAAGAGAAGAAAGAAGACCATTGAGGGCAACCAGAAAAAGAGTAGTGCTCAGAACACTACCCTGGGGCACACCTTCGTATTGCTGAAAAGAGGCAGAGAGAGCGGTACCAAGGCGCACCCGAAAGGAACGACGAGAGAGGAAGCTGCGGAGAAAGAGAGGGAGACGACCACGAAGGCCAAAAGAATGAAGTTGAGATAGAATATGATACCGCCAAGTGGTGTCGTAAGCCTTTTCCAGGTCAAAAAGGATGGCAACAACGGAGGTCTTCGCAGCAAAAGCAGTACGAATATAGACCTCCAAGATCACCAGGAGATCTGTCGTTCTGCGGCACTTGCGGAAACCAAATTGAGAAGGGGAGAGGAGGTGATGGTGTTCCAGGAACCACATCAGACGAACGTTAACCATACGTTCAAAGAGTTTGCAGACACAACTTGTAAGGGCAATAGGGCGAAAGTCCTTAGGGGAAGTACCCAGAGACCCCGGTTTGCGAACAGGGAGGACAACGGCATCGAGCCAGTCCTCAGGGACTGACGACGACTCCCAGATCCGATTATACAGACTCAGTAAATACTGAGACATGCGCGGAGGGAGATGGCGAAGCATCTCATAAGGAATACCATCGGAGCCCGCCGCCGTAGAACCGCACAGGGCCAGGGCAGAACGAAGTTCAGAGAGTGAGAAGGGATCATTATTGGGAAGCTGAAGACAAGTGCAGAAATCTAAAGGACGAGACTCAAGGACAGGTTTACGAAGAAGGAAAGATTGGGGAAGATGAAGACCAGAGCTAACAGAAGAAAAGTGGGAACCCAGTACGGAAGCGACCTGCAACGGGTCCGCCACAAGAGTATCATGGAGGTGAAGGACCGGTGAAACATCGGGAACGAACTTACCCGCTATCTTGCGGATACGCTTCCAGATCTGGGTCAGAGAGGTTTTGGACGTAATTGTTGAGACATAAGATGCCCAACATTCACGTTTAGCCGTACGGATGGCCCTACGGGCCACCGCACTCGCTTTCCGAAAGAAAAGAAAAGAATCGGTCGTCTGCCTACGGCGGTGCCTCTTCCAGGCTGCACGCTTACAGCGGACAGCCCGAGCACAGTCCGCATTCCACCAGGGAACACACTTCCGGGGACCCCGAGAGGAAGAGCGAGGAATAGAGCGGAGAGCAGCGTTGAAGACAGTGTCATGAAAAAGGAGGAGAGCGCGAGAGAGAGGCAGAAGGGAGAGGTCAGAGAGAGCAGCACTGAGGGAAAATAGGGTCCAGTCCGCCATAGCAAACTGCCACCTAGGGAAAGAGAGGGAAGGGCGAAAAGAGAAAAAGGAAACAAGGATGGGGAAATGATCACTTCCATGGAGGTCATCAAGAACCTGCCACGTGAAATCTAAGTAAAGAGAAGAAGAGCAGAGAGAAAGATCAAGACAAGAAAGGGTGCGAGTCCGAGAGTCCAAATGAGTGGGCTCACCAGAATTCAGAAGAGACAGGGAAGAAGAGACAGAGAGGAGAAACGGCTCAAGAAGGCGACCCCGGGTATTCGTCAGAACGTCACCCCAAAGAGAATGACGACAATTGAAGTCACCCAGCAGGAGCACAGGCTCCGGCAAGGAGTCTAGGAGGTGTTTCAAATCAGGAAGAGAAAGCGGGACACTCGGGGGGGAGATAAATGGAACAAACTGTGTACCATTTCCCCACAAAGATACGAGCAGCAGAACAATGGAGAGGCGAAGGAAAAAGTAAAGGAACAAAGGGAACATCAGCACGAATCAAGAGAGCAGAAGAATTAGAAGCCCCAGCAACGGCTGGGGGGGGGGGAGAGAAAGGAATAGCCACGAAAGCGACCAGGACGAGCACCAAGCATCGGCTCCTGGAGACAGACACAAAGGGGCGAGAACCGCGAAATCAGAAGTTGGAGTTCGAGGAAATTGGCGTAATAACCTCGAACGTTCCATTGAAGAATGGACAACGACGAGAAGAGAAAGGACAAAAACAGAGAACAAGGAAGAAACAAAGGCGAAAGAGCAACAGAACACGTCAAAGAAGATCAGGGTCGGGATCAGGGTCAGCAAAGTCAGGGTTAGGGGGCATGGGTAAACTGAGCAAAGACAGAGGGAAGGAAATGGGAGAACAGATCAGAGGTGGGCGGGCGGGGTCCGGAGGAGGAGGAAGAGGAGGAGACAATGGAGAGGAGCAGTCAAGGACAGCAGCAGGAAGAGGGGGAGTAGAAAGAGGGGAGCGCACCCCAGCAAGAACAGCAACCGAAAGGGAAGCAGGGGCCAAAGAAACCTCCATAGCAGGAACAGGGGGCGCAATCACTGAAACGGGAGGGGAAGGAGCAACAGAGCCAGAAGTAGGAGCTGAGGAAGAAAGCGAAGCCTTCTTACCCGCCGGGGAGGAGGAAGGAGAGGAGCCAGGCTTATGCTTCTGACTTAAAGAGACTGGTGTCCCAGCAACTACGTACCGGGCAATGGATTCCAGTGTCTCATCAGGAGAAGCTGAACGAGAGCACACACGACGGCCGTTAGGAGAGCAATGGACATCCGCCTGCACCGACAGGAGGCGGGGAGAGCCGATAGATGGAGGAAGAGGATGGGAAGGAGGATCGGAGAGGGACGAGGAAGAAGACACAGGAGACATGACAGACAGGGTAGA